TATAATTAAATGAGAATTATTAAATGATTAATAATTAAACTTGAATTAAAAGTGAACTCTGGTTACATCCTTTCCTTTATAGCTTAATTTCTTTTTTCAAGTCACACCCTGTAAGATGATAATAAAATATTGTTTCGTGCGCTTCTGGAGGCAGTGTTATTTTCTCCTTCCCTTCCTGATAAAATAGAAGATGATTATAGACTGTTGTGAGTCTCTTATTATAATAGCTGCTTCAAGTGGTCCGTTACTTCTTCAAATAGCCCTACTGGCATTAGGATATCGCGGAGGGGAACACAAATGAGATCCCCAAAACACGATTCTTCTACCTCTTACTCATTTAAATCTAACATGCCACGGGAACCAATGTTGATGGCATCAGCAACTCGTTCCATTGTTTGCGTTGCAGTCACGTTGAGACTGAATTTCTTTGATCCCCTTGGGTAAGATTTAAAACGGCATATTTTGGGGAAATCTTTCTTCGGCGGCCTTCCCCTTCCTCGCGCAAACTATCCGACTAGCTGTGATTATTAATGTTTCATTTCGAAACGATTACATTTTAAATACGATACTATCTGAATTTTATCGTACTTACTTTAAAAAAAACTATTGTCCCGATTTTAGGTGGACCGTTACGGCATTCCTGCACTGCCCACATATTCTCCCATCAGCATTCGCATCGACGCCGAAGCAAGGTAGAAAATCTTTCTTATAATCAGAAGCAGGCCGTCTGTCCTCTCTAGTCATAGTCTTGTCACACAGCGCGCACTTTTCTGCTACACGACTTACTTGTGTAGTGAAATTTACAATGAGAAATGACACCAAAATTAACATGAAAAGTATAATTTGAATTTCCCGCGGCATTTTCATTACCGCGATCACACCCTCTTGTAACAGGGGTTACACGCATGCGCACGTAGAATGCCCTCCTGTACTGACCATCTATATCACGTTTATTACAAAGTGAGACAAGTGTTATTACAAAGAGCAACAGAACAAGCACCTCTCCAGAAAAAATTAATCATGAAGTAATAAATTGATCATCATATTAAAGGGAAACGACTAAAAGTTTATGGAAAAAATTTAAACCATAGAGAAATAAAAAGTGAGGCTTTTCCTCTTCATGCGGGGATGATACCTTGCCCATAAAATCGTGTATTTATTCATTACAATCACTCACTGATATGATTTCAAAACACCTTGATTCCTATTGATATCTCTCTCTACTCAGACCTTAAAAGATGGTACAGTTGTTACCGCAAAACTTCTTGTTATACCGTTTTTAGAGTGTATCGTTGTATCGTTGTATCGTATGTCTGTATTTTTCGAACTAGTTATGTGAAGTATATGAATTTGAAATATTCATTTCCTTGCGAAATTTTGCACAATTTATCATGAGCAATTTTTCATTCTTTATGTATACGTTTAGTCTGGTGGATAAATGGCTATATTCAGTTTCAGAGGCAGCTTCGTGTCAGAGCAGTTTATTTTTCTCCATTGCGAGTTTATTTCTTCTCTTTGCTTATTTTTTGTGAGTTTTCGTTCTCTTGTACAGGCGTGTCGAGAAAGGTTGACGGAAAACAGGCAAAAAACTGCACGCAACAATTCCCAAAAGATATGGTGGGCAGTTCTCAGGTCGCGGTTTCTCGACCTCAGGATTTCAAGGAAATCGGAGAAAAAGTAATTATATACGTAAAGCAATACGCCTATTTCCAATTGAGATTCCAATGTAATTCGGGATTGCATTGGTTTTGGGTCACTTCGCTCTGGGATTGGTCCATGAAACGAGGGTCACTTTCTCCTTACCAATAATATAGGGCGCTTTTCGACTAAGAAAGTGGTGCGAACTTTCTGGACCAATCACATTGCGAAGTAATGCAAAAAAAAAAAAACCAGTCCAAGATTGTATTTGACATGCTATTGAAAAAATTTCGTGCAGCTTGTCATCCGCGTTTTCCCGCGACGAAATCAGTTTGCTTCTTTCACTTTAAGTAGTCTTTGGATCTTCAAGGTATTTCCTGTCATTATTTTGGTTAGCTTTTACTACAATCATTCGAAAAGATTGTTCGTTTGTTTGTTTGCTTGTTTGTTTTTCTTCTATGAGTAAAAGCATCATATTTAACTCCAGACACGAATTCCCACCAAAAATCATCTAACATAGTCTTTCTAAAAGCAATAAAACATAATTGGAATAAAGCTCAATTTAATCACAAAGATGAAAAACTTCTGATATGTTAAAAAAAATACATTACAATGCATTCTTGTTCTCTAAGTCGACCCTTTATTGGGGTGTTGGAATTAAAACCTCTTTGAAATGCTTTGGTATCCTTTCGAGTACGTTACAATTTATTTGTCCATCAGTAATGTTAGTTCGAAATTAGGAGCATAAAAAACGAGATATGTCTAAAAAATTCATGCACTAACGAAGATGGCAAAATTTCGTCAAGATCGTCAAATCCGCCAAACTGATTTCGGCCTATCGAGTTTGACGATAATTCACTAAAAAGTCTAGTCCATGAACATTGACTCGGTTTAACGATTCTGAGGAAATTTCGCCATTTTCACATTTCTAGATATATATAATACAAGAAGTGAAAAACTGGCAGCCTCTTCAATTGGTTAGCTCAATTGGTTAGAGCGCTGGATTGTTGTGCGGGAGGTCGAGGTCGACGGTTCGAGTCCCGGCCGGAACAACACTCGAGGTCCTAAAATAACTAAGGAGAATGCGCTACCTTTCTATGATATCAAGAAATGGATAGACATTCTAGTCTTCTCGGATGAGGACGAATAAACCGTAGGTCCCGTCTCCTGCATCTATAAATTAGTTAATTTGGTTAGGCAGGGGACGTTAAAGAACCCACTCACGAGGTTACTGTGAGGTGGTCTAGCCGGTTTACTGGGAAATGTGGGGAGGGGGTATCTTCAAATACGTTTCCTTCGATTGTTTGTAAACTGCTGATGCAGTCCGGCCAAAGTCCCCCGAAAAGTGTTGTGATGCGCATTTGATCATATCCACATGTTAATTTGCGCAGTATAAATATTAAATTATTATTATTATTATTATTACTATTATTATCATTATTATTATTATTATCATTATTATCATTATTAAAAAGAAGGCAATACGTGACATTGCACCACAAAGGTACAATGAATAAATCTTATGATCTATTCATTGCACAATCATGTTTACAATGACGAAATAAATTACTGATATTTACATGTAAACCCTTGCGTACACAAAGGTGAAATTTTGAAAACGTCAGGACCTTTATTTTCTAGTGAATTCGCTACCCCACTTAAACGAATATGAAACATTTATCATTTTATAAGTAACTATAATTATAATATAAATGACAAAAGCTAGAATATGTAGCCTACCGCTAATGAAGCAATTGTGACAACATACCACGCAATACCACAAAGAAAGAGTTACGTAACCCATGATCAATACATGTTTTCATGTTTTCAATATTTGCAGCTATACAATTGATATTCAATTGGCTTTTGTCTTGAATCAATGCGCGCGAAGGAAAATTTAGTCCTCGCAACAAACAAAACTTACAAAACATTTCATATTTTCTCCACGCTATTCTTAAACTTTTCTCCCATCAGAGGGGCGAAGTAAGACGAAGAACTAACGCTCGAAATGTCAGCTTTCTCAACTCTGTACGCTTACAATTTTACAATTTCAACTTAGTTGATATAACCAAATTACTTTGTTACTCCCACAGACGCAGCACCACAGTTTCTTTAGAAACTTAGCCCATTTCTTTAATATCTATTTGGTTCGCGCCCCTATTATTGCACAGTACACGAATTAAGTACCCCCCTAAAAGTATCACGAGTACTAAAAGCAAGTAAGTTGTCCATTTGTAGGTGGTCTCACACTCTCGACCTCCTTGGTTATCTGTATAACACAAAATCGATTAGTGTAAAGTCGAGTCATCCCTACAGCAACAAAAAATAGAAACGGGGCAGGGGCTATACTTGGTTTAAAATATGCGAGAGGTTTATTGTTTCTCTTTAACATAAAGCTTTTCTACAATTTCCAGGGTGCTCATGCATTTCAAACCCTGGCACTATGGACTAAGGAGATATATTTGGTTAGTGGTTAGTGCATTTCTTCTAACACTTTGGAAGGAAGGAGGCAAAGAAGAAGGAAAACTAACTTTAAGAGCGCTTAAAGAATTATGACAATGAAAAAACAAACCTTCAAAACAAACACAAAAAACAGAAACTAAACGAAACAAACAGGATTATGCGAAACAGACACACCCACAATAAAAAACATATATACACTGACAAAAAGAATACAAACAATTTAAAAAAAAATAGCTGATAGCTAGAAACTCCTGTTGGATTTGTCATTGTTGAACCTGGAAGATCTATAAAGTAAACGCACACACACACACATAGATATAGACACACACACACATAAAAAGAGAGATCAAATTGCTGATCATAACTCAAATTGCATCGCACCATTCAATAATATGTGGTGGTTCTGAAAATATAAACATTTATATAAACATTTATTTTTCTTAATTGCAAACCGTAAAATGGCCAAGATTTTAACCGTTAGCCGTAAGAGCTATTAGGCCATTGAGACAAATGGTGGATAGATTTAAGACTTAAAGAGAATATGCTTACCCAGCATCAAATTTTAGTCGTTAAAATAAAACAAGTCAGTATAAGCCAATTCAAGGTCTGTCCTAAACTATCTTTATCTGCATGTCTTCTTTTTAAGTCAACAAACAAAGACTCTCCAGAACCCCTTATATTCCTTTTGTTTCCACTGCCCCCTCCCACTCAATAACACACCTACAGTGTATAAAAAACACTTCTTTAGGACCGCTGATAAAATATGTCTGATGGTGTTTTTCTTTTCTCTTAAGGATGTATAATTAGTATTGTTACAGTAGCAGTTTCTTCAATTCCTTCGTGGACTTTGTGTTAAATAGTCATTAAACTGTACTTTAAAAATGTCTAAACTGAAACACTCACCTTGCACATGAACTCTCATGATAAGACAGTGATTTCGATATGGATTTCCAGCACATATGATGTACAGACCACCGTTAGCTTTAGTAATGTTTGAATTAACCTTCAGCAGTATGTTAGAAGACGTAAAATTGGATCTGTTTTGTAGAACATGTTGATCATGGCTCAAAGAAACCCATGGATAGGGGTAGCCTTCTACTTGAGCTTCTAAATATAGGTCCATCCGTACATACACATAAATATCTTGTGGACTCACTAAAATCAGTTTTGGGGAACCTGAAATAAAGAGGAAATTAATTGATATTAGTAAAGAGGTTAGGGCTCCATTTTCCCTTACCTTGATAGAGAACTGAAGAAGACCAAAGGATGGTTGAAGACAGCTTTTACTTAGAACAAAGTGGTTACTGGTCACAAGACATGGCTCAAGGAAACCCATGGATAGGGGTAAGCTCTTACTTCAGCTTCTAAATAAAGTTCCATCCTTCCGTACACATAAATATTTTGCTAACTGACTAGTGTCAGTGTTGGGCACAATATTGGTGAAGAAGTTATGGCTCCATTTTCTCTTACATTGATACAGAATAAAAACAGAAGGATGCTTGGAG